GAATGTCATCTCTATTACGTCTGCTATCTTGTTGCTTCAGTTCTTAATTCGGTATTAATTATGGTTGGCTATGATTTACCCTTCTTATACATTTGATTGATTTGCTTAAATATTATTCGGCGCAACAAACCTGTAACAGTTTCAGTTGATTACAGTTGAAGGCTCTGCAATAAAAATCTATTCCCTATCTACACGATATTTATGATGGTCTATTGTTGATGATCTGTCTTTATGGATATATCCTGCTTATGCTCTTGTTGTTGCTATGTCCTAGTATGTAAATCAACAAATTTATTGTGAGTTTTGGATCACTGATTGCAACCTTAAATTAAATGGATTGGTGCCTAGAGATTGTTATGTCATAGTATATTGACATCTTCGTCCTTACAGTACATGAACACTCACATTTTCCGCTTAATCTTTGACTTGAATTTTAAAATTAACTAGCTTCCTGTCCTTTTTAAACTAGTCTTATTGCGCGTGAACCCTATATTAATAGGTACTAATTTTATTGAAAATTACATAAATATTATTAAAGAATATGATGCAATCATAAAATAAAAATATAAATATCTAAAAGTGATGAATATTGATCCTATAACAATCTCTTGTGTCTTTTTTGTAAAGAGTATTGCTTTGTTATGAAATCATAAACTCATAATTATTGGTTATGTTTATTGCTTAGCTGCTAGACGGAATTGTATGCTTCAGTTATGATTTATTGTGAGGCAATTAGAAGAATATTGTACTCTTAAATTTCTAATAGTTTTTTGGTAAGAAATTATAATTATGTTACATAGTTCATACCTGAATATTGCGAGTGAGTTCTTGGCTAACATCATGATAGATCAGATTTATGCCCTTTTTAAACAGTAGTAGAACAATACTTTAAGACTTAAAAACTATATCGACCTGTTTGGATTATAAACATAGAAGCACGTACAATATAAATGTTAGAATATTTACATACAGTTATACCTACTACACGGTAAATACACGGTAAAGTGACATAAAAAGGTAAAAACTTACCTAACATATGCTTGAAGTTTGGGTTATGAACACCCAAAAAATATCAGCTCAGTGAGAAGAAGAAGAAGAATCAATTGAAGGAGCTTTTAAAGGACCCTTCAATGGAAAAACAAAATTATGCCCTAAAAGAATTCCTTCTTTAACTTTAACCTATATTTAGAAGTTCAAATAAATAAAAAATATTTTATACATGGTAAACTTTTAATTGCTCTAAAGTTTTAAATACTACGATTTCATATCTAGTCCAAATAAAGAAAACTTTAATAACTAAAAATTTAATTAACTTTTATGTCCTAAATATTAGAAAAATAATTGAATGACTAATTTTTCTTTAGTAATTTAATTTATTATAAAAATTAGTGTTAAATTCATTTCTTACGTCTCAAATGAAGACATTTTGTTTTAAAATTTTTTAGACTTTTTTGTCTTGTAGTTGTGGATCAATGAATTTATAAAATACTTTTAATTTAAGGTACTGTTAAAAATAAAAGAAATAGATATTAGAGCTCTTAAAAGGAGGCATACACTCCTTTTTAACCCAGCATTTCGGGTTTCTAACCTATAACTCAACAATAATATAGACAAATTCTTGCATTTAGTTAAGTTATTTACCCATTCAATCTAAAGTAAATTTTAATTGATTTTAAAATTTTAGATATTGATATTTCTTGGTTTAAATAAGGAAAGTGTTAATAACGAAAACTTTAGTTGATTTCAAATTCCTATATATTATGAACATAACTAAATAACTGTTTTTTAATATTTTTTAAGATAAAACGGATGAACGACATTTCGCTAAGTGACTTCGTGCTTTTGATATATTTTTAAATGATAAAAATTATAATTTATTTTTAGATATTTGGGTTTGCAGAATTATTAGTGTTTTTGACTCTTAGCAACTACTTTTCTCTCTTATATTCTTAAATGTCTTCTTATTTAATTATTGTATTTATTGAGTGTAGTTTTTAAATATTCTACTAAAACGTTGACAAATGGAAAATATTGTTTTAGTAGAAAAGTAGTTTCAGTATAACATGGAAATGTATTAGGCTTAAAATTGAAAGCATTCTTCGATAGATCAACATTCATATGTTCAAGTGTTTTAAATTGAGACCATTTGATCGTTTATTCGTGAAATCGGTTGCATATATTTATAGTTTTGTTACATACTCTAAAAGAAAACAAATTATATAATGTAAATATAAACTGGTTTTTAAATTTTAAAAATTAGGACTTTTTATACAATTAAATTAGGAAAGATTTATAAGTAAACCATACATTAATTGTCCTAAATATTAGGAAAATCACTAAAATGACTATTTTGTACAATGTAAACTCTATTTTTAAAGGGTAAAAAAGGCGAACGGCATTTCGTTAAGGGCCTTCGTGCTTTTAGTATAACTAGTTTTTATGTACGTGCGTTGCACGTAAGCTTTTAACCAATTATTGAAAGAAAGAAAAATATATTAAATTTACTAAAAAATTATATAAAAATGTGATAATATTTTAAGCTTTAAAATTATTGTTATTACGCTAATATAATACTTTAGTTCAAAACGATCATTCATCATCTGAACTTAAAAATATGATCGACTTAGTCAAATAATTATCAAAGAAGTAGAACGAATTCTCGATACAGTAGTAGACTTCGAACTCATTAGGGATTCAAATTTTGACGTCTTAATCATTAAGTTTTCCTTTGGATGGTTGATGATAAGACTTGAATACGACAATTAGCATGTAGTTAATGAGCTCATCGTGTCAAACAAAACAAGTGATATTTTTCTTTTTTTTTTTCACCCCCAGGTTTTTCCTTAGCAAAATGTTATGAATAACAACAAATAATGACGCCCATCTGCTTATCTTCTTGTATAACCAAGTAGTTGCTCAGGTTCTAGTTATTACACAAACAAATTAATAGTTTTTTAAAGCCTCTTCCTGCAGGTTCTACAGGGTTGCCTCGTGTATCATTTAGAGTATCTTTGAGATGTATCAATAGGAAAATTCGAGCAGTCACTTTCAATTTCACCACCCTGAACTAATCGATCATTTTGGTATACGTATTACAACTTTATTTTGTTATAATTTACAACTAAACTCAAAAAATAGAGACAAATACAGTAACAAACAAACAACTAAATTTACGTTTGTTAACATCTTGTATATGATCTATGAAATGCATGTATAATCAAAAGCTTTAGTCAACTAATGTATGGTTGTACTACTTATATGCCAATTGGTGAGCAGCATATCTCATGTAAGTGCCTTGTCATCCTTGCATGAAATCCAAGTATTCACAAACTCCTTATTCGATCTGTGCTTAGTTTATATGACCGACTTTTGTGATTCTTTATTTCCATTTTTTAACTGGTGTTCCTAAATTCTACTATATGTTCCTACGCCATCTTATATATTCCAAGATTCATGCAAAAGTTATCAATTTTTGTAACAACTGACCTTTTAATTATGCCATTAGATAAACCTCTTTGAGACTATAAATTAAGGACCTTCTACTAATCAGAAATTATTATGCAGTAAGGTCTCATCAAAGAATAGGAGATTAATTTGTCTGAAACCATAGGATTTTTTCTAGCGGAAATATATATAAAAAAAGAATATTTAAATCTAAGACCATGTCCCATGGAACACAAGTTTCATGTATTTAATTAGTTGGTCAAAACTCATACATAGTTCAATTATTGGCGACATAAAGTATGTTTGTCACAGTTACATGACAATAATTAATATATAACTGTGCAGGGCATTCTATCGTTGCTTTCAGCGAATGGAATATAAAATTTGCTCTCCATAAGATTTTGAATAAAACGGTTTTAAAAATTAAAAAAAAAAAGTATAAAATATTTCAAGGACCAAAAAAGGAGGCTTGATTAGACAAAGAGTTATACCCATCCAATAGCAACATACAGGCCTGGAATTAAAAAGGAAAATATGTGCTTTAAAGCATAGACGTCAAAGATTGACATGCAAATCCAAAGCTCCACAATACTTGAAGTTTCTAACAGCTTGTTTGGAGGGTTGTTACCTATTGGGTTGTATCGTATGTTACTTTAAATACAATATTTGTTTTGATTGTTACTTAAATTTTATTGTATCGTATCGTTAAATCCGTCGTTACGTAATGACGAAAAGTGCCACTTTATGGAACAACCAATTTAGTGCGGTCGCGTCGTTCACTTATTTTTTTAAAGAATAAGGGAACAATGGGTTGCGTCATTATATAGCAAATTTTAAAGAATTTCATATAAAATATACCGTCTCCGACTCTTGAACAATGGGTGCTGAAGCACCCACTCCATTGTACGTGGATCCGCCCATGCGAAAAATAATACTACAATCTATCCAAACATTGTATACATCAAAACGATACACTACAATACAATACAATATATTATGAAACCATACATAACAACCATCCAACTAAGCTGTAAAATAGCTTCAAGCTGATTTACCGTCAAGTTGAATTATCAAATAGAGTATAATTGAACAGCAACAAAACTGTTTTACAACACGAAGGAAGAACAAAAAATAAATTGGCAGAAATAATTTCACCTTAACCAGCGGCCTCTTCCATTCAGCTGAATGATTTTGTCTACCAACACTACAAGAAAATGCTTATTTTGTGGGGGTTATTTTGATAATTTGTGGCGGTTTACGACACCCACAAAATGAATTGTGGCGATTTTTAAAAATGCCACAGTTATGATTGCCACGAGCTATATTTTGACAGTTTTTTGAAACCTCCACGACGACCTCCACAAATTGAATTTTAAATTTGTGACGATTTTCAAAGACAATTAGCGGTGGTTTATAATCCCCACAATATGATCCCAGTGATTTTAAAAAAATATTTGTGGGGCCTTATAACCCCCATAATATGATCTCAATTGTATAAAAAAAATTATTAATGAACTGTAGCATTATTCCATTACATATAACCATAAAAACAAACATAAAAAATTCCAATCCTTATCAAACTATATTGATACTAACTAAGGTAATTCAAATTTACACGCAAAACATCAGCTCAGTTGATATAAAGGGTACAATACAAATAGCCGAACACAATGGAATGTTGCTACAACATTGTAGAACAAAATAAAAGCTACAAGATTTTTCACCAGAATGTAGAAATGGAAAGAGGAAGTTTGTCATTCAACACCGATAAAAATCTCCTGTCTCCTTTGTTAGGTTCAGAATCTAGAAAGTATTATTACAAGTGTAAAAGGTGAATGTTGCTGCTACTTTTTGCAAATGTTGTAACAGTTGCAAGGTAAATACCTCTTAGGAGAGAAGACCAATGTCAAACTCATAGAATGATGTGTAGTTTCCAATTTCAACCTGCACCAAAAAACTTTTTCTTTATGATGAATGACAAAAGGAACTTGTTCCTCTCAATGAAGCAGTACTTGAGGTTATATGATCTGTATTCATAGTGCTAATCTATTTCGTATCCATGTTTATGTTGTCTATGAATTGAAATGGAAACAATTATGAGCTGAAGTAAATGCGTACCTTCATGTTTTTAGTATTGAATCATATATTAAACAAACTGATGATTTAAATGCGTACAATGGTGAATCTTTCAAACACATGATCTCAAAGAACTTTGCGAAAGGAAGATATCAGGCCAAATTGCTATCATCCTCCAATGATATATGATCTGTAGAAGTAGCAAAGGACCAACCAATATACATGATTCAACCCGTAAAACGTTCAGAGACAACAGATGACTTGAAAAATACTTACAGAGTTTTCTTAATAAGAAATCTCAAGCATATTCGCATCAACTACATATAGGGGTTACATTCTCACCCCATCTGGGACTATATCATGAACTTTCATGCATATTCAATAAGTCACGAGTCAATTAAGATTGTCCAAAATGAGAATAATTATGCAGAATCAAATACGTTGAGTTCAACATCAAAGTATGTGTAGAATAGTTAATATTATTTTATTCCAATTGTTAAGAAAACTATTCAAGAAGCTTGCAATATCAAGAAAGAAGATGAAGCATAAATCATGCCACATGCCTAGAGGTGAGATATAAACGCAATGATTCCTGAGTAAAGTTCATTCGCAAATACAATTTTCATTAAAATTGCATCGAATAAGTCTTTTATCCAAAAAAGAAAAAAGTGAAAGTAAACTTGGCATCAGAGAAGAACCTCTAATGTGAAAACAAATCTCTTATTCAACAAGATAAAACAAAAAGAATTCAGTTACCTATTGCAGTCATTTTAATGATAAACATTAGTTACTAATCAAAGTTTTGACTAGCGAGTCCAAGCCATCTAATGTTACTGAAAGTTCTATCAAAGATTAATGAATAGTGACCATGCGGATGTATATCTTGCATAAAAAAGAAGAATATACGTCTAACTAGGCAAAGAATTACAGATAGCAAAGATTTTGGACAAGTAGAATAATAGTATAGTAGAACTGGGATTTTGTTACAAGAAGCAAAAGATACAATAATGCTGTTTGATTTCATTCACAACGAATTGTCAATATCATCACTAGAGATCCAATCATCAGTATTGTTTCTACAAAGGCATCCAATGTGATAATTATAATCTAAAAGATAATAGAGGTTAATGCACTCTAGTCTAAGAGGCATTAGAGGTCAATACATTCTACTCTAAGTGAACCTGAAAAGAAAGAAACCTCACTCGTTATCTCATGAATTCATAGTGGAAATTAAGTAAAACAGTAAGGTTTTTTCTGGATCGACTATAAGGCGAACAGTAATCCATATTTCAGAAGAAATTACATCCAGCAAAGCTACACAAGCATAATAGTATTTCACTAATATAGTCATAAATAGTGCCATGTTGGATAAACAGATATGCATATTGACGTTTTAACACAATCTTACAGTGGTGACAGTTCATACATGTATTTCTTACAACACATTTTCCTAGTGGTGATAGCCACGTAGTTGAATCTTTTCAACCATATCATCAATCTAAAGCAAGGAATAGAACACAAAAGCAGACATTCTACCTCAATGTTCTGTACACTGTAAAAAAAGAATTCAATAGACAAGCAAAAAGGGAAACATTGCTCTCACAAACAAATGGCAGTAAGGCATCAGCTCAATAGACATTACTCTCAAAGGTAAATTTTTATAAGAAGCAATCAGGCCGATAAATATTACTCTAAGAATTAGATCATTTTTAAAGTTTACATGTAAATTTTTATAACGAGCATTGATTGGTAATTTGGTAAAAAATATTAAACTAACCTACTATAACATAAATATAAAAACATATTATCAAAGGTAAATATTCAGTGAGTTAAAGACATTAGAGCTAACATTCTAGTCTAAAAACTTCACTAAGCATCACTAGCATGGCATAAATTAACTCATCCATAACCCTTAGCTAAAGAAAAATGGGCAGAACATTCCAGTCTAAGAGAGTCATTCCATCAAATAGTCTAATAACAGAAAATAACATTATCAATATTTCAATTATATAGCATCCAGATTATAAATACAGATTTATATGACAATTCAATAGGATATCGAAAAATAGAGTTGAAAATGAAAGCTCTGTAGTATTTTTGAATGCATAGAGGAGTCCAAAGTAGTTGAAATAGTATTATCCATTGCTAGACGAACAGTTAAAGGGTCTGAAAATAAGCCCTAAACATTTAGTCTTCATGAAAATTGAAATTTTAAAGATAAAACCTCTTGAGTTGTAGTATCGGTTCTCAACATCAAAGTCATGTTCATTGGGCACCTCATCAGAGCACACGAATCCATACTCCATATCTGCATCTGCCAAACACACACGCACACACAAAAATCAGATAAAAAGTGCAAATTAAACATAATACTAACAAAACAATCACTGGGTAAATTACCAGAACCAACCAATGGCTGATTTGAGATGAGTAGGAATCAAAAACAAAACAAAAGAGAAATTTTGAGCTGTGAAAGAAAAGAAAATCTTCAGTATCTCGCTCCAAAGTTTCGCAAACCCTTCTTCATCTAGCTTTTGTGAGGTGACGGATGTCACGATTAGAGGGAATTGTGAGAACCCCAGAACTTTGATTGAATAAGAGAGGGGGTTAGGGTTTGGTTGGATCTGTACAGTTTAGTAGAATGAGAGGGAAAGGGGGTTAGAAAGAAAAAAAAAATTAGAGGGAAAGGGGAAATAAAGGCCCGCCAACCAAAAATTAGGCAAATAATTTTATTACGGAGGTTTTATTTTAAGAAACCTCCGAAAATTGTATTAGAATAGCGGAGGCTAGCTGAAACGCCAAAATTGAAGCAATTTGCGGAGGTCATTATTAACCTCTGCAATAAAACCGTCAAAAAGTAACACTTATTTTGTAGTGCAAATTCAAGGCGATGTTTCAAATCTATAGACTATAGTGGTGTTTACTGCATAGAAAATGACAGCATGCTGATCTGTAAGCATGTAAAGTATATATATGGTATAAAAGGAGAACGTAAAATTTGCATATATGATATGCTCGATTAAGGGACAAATGGAATTCAAGAAAAAAGGAGATCTAATTGATATCCCTTGATAAAAAAAAAGGTTAAGCTTTCAAAATTTCTTGCGGCAATGATCTGTCAAATTTGGCCCAAGCCCAAATGACCCGCCCAACCTGCCCAAGGTTGGGTTGGTTATTGACCCGCCCATTTATTGAACTTAGCCCATCTTGACCCAACCCATCTCAACCCATTTAAAGTTGGGCTAATTTTTAGCCCAAATTGATCCATGAGTAAGTTTGTCAAAATATCTTAGAAATAATTTTATTTTTTGTTTAATATTTTAAATATGACCATAACAAAAACAAAAAATCTTTATTTAGTAATTATACAATTTATAAGAAAATAACACATATTTTAATTAAAGTTTAATAAGAGTTGGGCGGGTTGGATTATGACCAGAATTTTAACCCATCTTGACTCAACCCATTTTAGCCCAAGTAACTTTTGGGCGGGTCAAATGACCCGCCCAATTATTGACTCAACCCATTTTGACCCGCCCAAAATTGACCTAACCCGCCCATTTGACACCCCTAAATAGAGCTGCCTTTAGGTTGTAATTTAGATGGATTTAAAGTACGACCTAGTTGTATGCCAAACGGAATTTAAGTAAGAACCCAAATTCGAAGGAATTAGTAATACATTCAAAGTCCTAAATCCGAAAGAAGGGTCTTAAAAGTTACACTTTTATCCGATAAAAAATTATATTTTAAGGGTACAAAAGTCTATCAAGATTTTGAGGATATTTTAGTCCATCAATATTTAGCTTCCTAGGATTCATGCTTTTATAATAATATAGATAGATAGATAGATATAGATTTGTCCACATTTACTTTTCTTCTAACTTTACCAAATAAATAAAAGTAAGACACCGGAAACGACAATATAATTTATAAATTTGGTTACCTGAGCAACACCGACCTTAGCTCAGTTGGTAGAGCGGAGGACTGTAGTATGTCTGCTGAAATCCTTAGGTCACTGGTTCGAATCCGGTAGGTCGGATTGTTTTTTTCCTTGTTTATTTTTTCACGCCCAAAAGAGTTAATACCATTTTTGTTACGTGTAATTTGTAATTATGCATTTTGTAAATCTTTGAAACGTTTGTCCTACACCTACTTTTCCATCTTGCAAATCGTCCGTTTTTTTTCCTATTACTATTTCCAACAAATACAAATAAAGTATCTTTTTCAATTTAATTTTTTGGTACAAAATTGATAGTCCACATTTTTTCTTTTATAACGAAAAATTTACAAAAATATCGATGCGCTTCAATCAAAGTTTTAAAGGCCTGCTTTTATTTACTATTCCAATACTTTTATTTTCTTTTTTGGTCACATAATTAATAGGAAGTAGCAAAAGCCAATTAGGCAGCATTCAAATTCATGCACTGTAGTCCCTTTTTTGGATAGTCTTAGCCACTGAGACGTTATTGCTTTACTATAAAGGGGTATCATCTCCAATAGAGTAATATATAGGTGTTATTTATCTACTTTAGTTTTCGTGTTTGGCCTCCCATTTTCCCCTATTTATATCTCTTTTTTCACGATTTTTGTTTTTGTAATCTTCGCTTGCAGATAAAACATATTTCTAAATTTATGTGACTTTAAATCCGATCCAAATAAAAATAAATAAAAGAAAGTTTTATTATTGTGGTATATCAGTCACCTGTTCTGGAACTTCCAGTTCCAATCGAAGCATTTTTTTGTTGTTGATTTTTGTACTTTCCTAAAAATATTGACACCATTCTACTTATTAGACTATTCTATACGATTTCACAACTTTTAAAAACAAATCATTTAACTATTTAAATTATAAGCATCATGATGAGATGTTGTATACGGCCAAATCGGGCTTGCCCTTTTTGTGTGACTCATCGAGGCTGGAACGCAATAAGCCAAGGTTCAGCCTCGTATCATATCGAACCATGATGCAAAGTTAGGTTGCCGAGCTCGTGGCCCTGAGACCAATCAAGGTCGAGATCGACCAAGATCGAGATCGAACAAGATAGAGATCGAGAAACTTACCGAACCGAATAACAGAAAGCCGAAATATCCACAATCGGGCGAGGATCATGGCACGTTTCCCTGCACGTATCAAGAAGAGGCCGATTAATTAGCCAATCATGGGATTTCTTACCTCATATAGAATTGTACCTAGAATAGGACTCCCCTACTATATAAATGGGGGACTGATCATTTGTAAAAAGATCATATTCACGCAATACTAAGCAATATACTGTCATTTTCTACCTTTCATTACCTTGTTATTCTGTTCATAAGCAAGTTGAAACATATTTGGTTCAAGGATGACTGAACTCGACGACCAACGTTGTTCAATTCGTGTCGCTTGCATTTATTCTTTCATAGTCAATTTCAATATTAATCTATTATTCTTAATTTATGCCAAGTTATATCACGTGTCCTTAAAACCACGATTCAATTGTTATCCGATTTTAGGGTAAACAGTTTGGCGCCCACCGTGGGGCTAAGGGTAATAGTGATTACCTGGTACAAACATTCGTAACACATACTATTTTACACTTGTTCTTTGAAGTATCTTTGATTACGGGATTAAAAAATATCAAACTCTCAGTCAGCACCTCAACACATTAACAATGATCTCGGCCACCACAGCAAAAATGAGAACATTGCACCAGGAAACGATGTACCCCCTGTTGGTCTAGATGGAATTCCGGTTGTAGATCCAATTGGCGCCAGTTCACATTCCATCAATAGAAATTTGGACGTCGATCCCGAAAACAGCGTCCATGAGGATGCCCGATCAGCTACTCAGAGCGCACGTGGTGGTGAAGATTGCAGGATTAGCGTGCGGGTGATCTTCGAAATGTTGCGGGCTCAACAGGCAGCAATAGCCCAGCTCCAAAACCAGAACCACACACTGAGCAGGGTCGAACTCGAGCCATCCAAGGAAATTGTACACAAGGTCGAATTGATTTCGAGGAAATCGAACGAGAAGAAATTGGAGACCAATCCTGCTATCATGAAGATGCTCGAAGAACTGACAAACCGAATCGAGACAGGGGAAAAGAAGATCGAGGAAAACAACAAGAAGGTGGAAACCTATAACTCTAGAGTCGACCAAATCCCGGGATCACCACCGATATTGAAAGGACTGAATTCCAAAAAGTTTGTACAAAAACCTTTTCCCCCGAGTGCAGCTCCGAAGCCAATCCCCAAGAAGTTCCGCATGCCCGAGACTCCTAAGTATAATGAGACGACTGATCCAAACGAACACGTCACCTCCTACACGTGTGCTATCAAAGGAAATGACTTGGAAGATGACAAGATGCTCAGATAATTCATGTCTCGATTCCAAATGGAACGATGGACTTGCCACCTGTCGCTGATGATAGGGCTGTTCAAGCTTTCACTCAAGGTCTCAACGTTTGAAGTTCAGTGGCTACACGGCAGTTGAAGCAGAATTTGATCGAATACCCAGTTGTCACTTGGGCCGATGTGCAAAATCAGTATCAGTCGAATATCAGGGTCGAGGATGATCAATTGGGCTCCTTTTGGGTCCGTTTATCCTATCATACCCGTCGATAGAATCAAGAGGATATCGACCAAGAACCAAGGTCGAATAGAGATCGATATCAACCATATAATGGAGACCGTGGGAACAACGGATCTGGGCGAAACTCTGCACGGAATGGAAGAAGAAATGATCGAGGTTCAAGCTGACGGGGACTCATGAGCAAGAATGGCTTCGATAGATCTATGGGACCCAAAAAGGCACTACGATTGTCAGAGTATAACTTTAATGTTGATGCGGCTGCCATCGTTTCGGTTATCGGTCGCATTGCAAACTGATCCAACACAAAGGGATCCCAACCAAATATGCAAATACCATGGCACGCACGGCCACATGACGGAGGACTAGCGACAATTGATGGAAAAAGTAGCCCGGTTGATCAACAACGGTCATCTTCGAGAATTTCTAAGTGATCGAGCTAAGAATCACTTCAAAAACAGGGACTCCAACAAACAAAATGGCAGTACGTCATCCATATGATCATCGTAGGGGTCGATGTTCCTCAAGGTCCGATGATGAAACGCACCAAAGTGTCAATCACAAGAGAAAAACGGACTCGAGATTACTTAACTGAAAGGACTCTACTTTCAACAACAAGGATGCAGAAGGAATCATGCAACCTCATAATGATGCACTGATAATTCTGTACTTATGAATAAAACTAGAGTTAAACGTATGCTAATTGATCCAGGTAGCTCGGCCAACATCATTCGGTTGAGGGTCGTAGAATAACCAGGCCTACAGGACCAGATCGTACCTACGGCCCGAGTGCTGAACGGATTCAACATGGCTTGCGAAACTACTAAGGGAGAAATAACGTTGCCGATAAAACCCAGGAAACCAAGTTCTATGTAATCCAGGGGGACATGTGATACAACGCCCTGTTCGGGAGACCATGGATCCACAATATGAGGGCCTTGCCTTCGACCCTTCACCAAGTATTACAATTTTCAACACCAGAGAGGATAAAGACGGTTTACGGGGAACAACCCGCCGCGAAGGAGATGGTTGTCGTTGATAAAGTAATTCCGATATCAACACTCTCATTGACAAAGGACTCAGGTTCGAAAGCGAAATAGGAAGTCAAATAGATCATCGGTGCCAGCTTTGACCCAATCGGACAAGCAAGGGATTCACGAAGATGATGACTACGGGGTTCCTCGATCTTTTATCGCCCCCGATGATTCTGATGCTACCAAGTCAACTATCGAAGAGCTAGAGTAGGTCGCGCTGATCGAATATTTTCCCGATCGAAAGGTATACTTGGGCACGGGGTTAACTCCCGAGCTTAGGAAAAAACTCATTCAATTTCTTATAGCTTATATGGATTATTTTGCTTGGTCCCATCTTGATATAACATGGATCCCACCGAAGATCACTACTCACAAACTGAGCTTGGACCTGAAGTTGCGCCCGGTAAAATAGAAAAGGAGACCCTAGTCTGAGATCAAGCATGCCTTCATTAAGGACGAGGTAACTAAACTCCTTAAAATATGGTCCATCAGGGAAGTCAAATACCCGGAATGGTTAGCAAACGTAGTAGTAGCCCTAAGAAAAGGAACAAACTAAGAATGCGTGTAAATTATAAAGATTTAAATAAAGCATGCCCCAAAGATTCTTTCCCTTTTCCTAATATTGATCGCATGATCGACGCCACGGTCGGCCATGAGACTCTCAGTTTTCTCGATGCCTATTCCGGGTACAACCAAATATGGATGGACCCGGGCAACAAAGAAGAAACCTCTTTCATCACTAAATATGGCACATAGTGCTATAACGTAATGTCATTCGGATTAAAAAATGCTGGTGCCACTTACCAACGAGTAGTAAACCAAATGTTCGATGAACAAATAGGAAAAACCTTGGAAGTTTATATTGACGCTATGCAAGTTAAGTCCCTGCGAGCAGAGGACCATTTAAAGCATTTGCAGGAAACCTTCAGTATATTGAAGAAGTACAACATGAAGCTGAATCCGGAAAAATGTGCATTCATTGTCGGGTCCGGTAAGTTTCTCGAATTCATGGTCTCCAATCGAGGGATCGAGATCAACCCCGACAAGATCAAAGCTGTCGAGGATATCACGGTAGTGGATATTGTGAAGGTTGTGCAAAGGCTAACCGGGCGCATTGCAGCCCTAGGGCGATCCATCTCGAGGTCATCCGATACAAGTCATTGATTTTTCTCATTGTTTAAGAAGAAAAACAACTTCACATTGACCCCAGAATAGGGGTGGGCATAATACCGACCGAACCGAAAAAACCGGCCGAACCGTGAATTTCGTTTTTTCAATTTCAGTTTAATTGGTTTTTCGGTCGATGCACGATTTTAAAATTATTAATTTTCGGTTTTTCATTGCGGTTCACGGTTTATGTATTTCGGTTTTCGGTTAAACCGAAAAACCGAAATTTAGGGGTATTAGTCTATCAGATTATTAGTTCTACTTCTATTTCTATCCGTATAAGTTAATAGTTATAACTTATAAGTTATAACCCAATGGAGTATCGTCCAAGCCCAATTGCCCAAATGTCCAAGCCCACCCCACCCAATTTACCCCCATAGAGTCATAGACCCACAGTCAGTCACGATTAGTTCCCAATTTAGAATTTTAGATTTAGGGTTCCTCTTCCTCGATCCTCAGTTCCTCTCCTCTGCGTCTGCGAGCTGTTACTGCGAACTGTGCGACTGTTCCTCTTCGGTTCTTCCTCAGCTCTGTGCGACTGCGACTGCGACCCATTAAAGAGACCCATTTACCCGGAAAAAAAAAAAGAACAGCGTAACCCCAATAAGAGCTACAGAAAAACCCTACCTTTCCACTCTTCGTATGCGTGCACATTGCCTCTATCGCTAAGCTCACACTTCTGCTTTCAGCTTCAAAGGTGGCTATCTCTCTCCTATACGCACCATTCCATATTGAACACAGAAAGAAAGCTAAACAAAGAGAAGAGAGTTCCAATCATGGTGGACGTTACGTCTATGGGAGAAATCACAGCCATAGCCGCTAGGATTGGTGTGGATCTTTCCCAAATCGATCTTGACTCCATTCATCTTCCTCCTGGTGAAGATTGTGGCATACCCAGGTCTTAAATCTTGCCTTTCCTTTTTTTTTTGTGTGTTTCTGCATTTTTATGATTTATATATGCGCTTTTTATGTGGTGATGCTTATGGGTTTCCTTTCTTTGCTGTAAAGTCTGGGTCTTTATAATTTTTTTTGAGTTTGAGTTTATTGTTTTGGTTCATATGCTTTGAAGATTAGAAATTTCTAGTGTTTTGTTGGGTTTTTGAGTTTGTTGGTTTTATTTTATGTTTATATTCAGTTCAATATGTTAAATATTTTATGGACGTATATGTCTGGGATTCTTTTCTATGATGTGAAGTTTGGATTTTGTCGATGTTCTTCTATTGAGTGTGCGAGGCCTGTTAATATGTTGTGAAGATTAGACTTTTAGTGTTTTCTTGGGTTTTGCGTACTCATTACCCCCCCCCCCCCCCCCTAGACCTCACTTGTGCAATTTCATTGGGTTGTTGTTGTTGTTGGATTTTGAATATGTTGAGTTTTGCATTTGCGAGTCTTGAATATGTTGAGTTATTGATCCATTACCATTTAAAAAACCTTGATTTATATATGGATTTTTATGTGTTTTTGCATTCTCCTTGAGTTCTGTTCATATGTTGATAAGATATTTTTAGCGTCTCTATTGGGGATTTGATATCTCCATTTGTATTTTCAGACACTGGGTAATACCTTAATTTATATATGAATTTTTTTGTGTTTCTGCTTGGTTTCGTTTCTTTTGTTTGACGTTTAGGTTCTTTTGGTTTGTAATTGTGGTTTTGGTTCATACCGATAAAGAAAGGGTTTGTAGAGTTTAAATTCTCTTTGGTTCATATACCATGAAAATGGGTTTTGTAGTTTTTCCTTTGGTTTTGAATTTGTATGTTATTTGGATATTATCAGTGATGATGATGACTTAATGGAGGAGGACCCCTTGGAGTTTGATGCTGGTTTTGGGAACATACTGGTGGTGGACAATCTTCCTGTGGTGCCCAAAGAGAAATTTGAGAAGTTGGAAGGAGTAGTTCGGAAAATTTACAGCCAACTTGGTGTTATTAAGGAGGATGGTCTCTGGATGCCTGTTGATCCTGAGACTCAGAAAACCCTTGGGTACTGCTTCATCGAGTATAATACTCCTCAGGTACTCCAATTTTTTCTCCTTAGCAGCTACAATGTATCTCATTTCTTTAGACAATGTGTGAGACTTGTAACTGAATTGTGGAAGATGTTAACTAGTGTCATGTTGCTATGTTTTTCTGCTTTAGGAAGCTGAGCTGAGTAAGGAGAAGACACATGGATACAAGTTAGATAGGTCGCATATATTTGCTGTTAACATGTTTGATGACATTGAGAAATTCCTGAAAGTTCCCGATGAATGGGCTCCACCAGAGATCAAGCCTTATGTTCCCGGGGTTAGGCTCTTCATCAGCTGTTTTTTTCTCCGGCGAGCACTATGTGTCTTAAATATTAGCTTTTCATTCATCTGCTAACATTGAGATGTTTGTATCCTGGCAGGAGAATCTGCAACAGTGGCTTACTGATGAGAAAGCTCGAGACCAGTTTGTGATTCGGGCTGGCAATGACACAGAGGTCCTCTGGAATGATGCAAGACAGTTGAAGCCTGAGCTTGTTTACAAACGTTCTGTAAGTGAACTTATTTCCTCTTTGTGCTCATTTAGCTATCCATTCATGGGGATTTTTGGTACTGTTTAGTGTCTCATATTTTCAGAATTCGAAATGGGTCTTGCACAGAAACTGTTTCTTTAAAAGATAATTTTTTTCTTTTATGAAGATGGGTAATTACTAAACTTTTGCTAACGATGTCCTTTGAGTGCAGTTCTGGACTGAGAGTTTTTGTTCAATGGTCCCCTCTGGGGAACGTATTTGGCAACAGTTCACAGACAAGGTGCTGCAATTTGGGGTGGTGCCACCACTTTCAACCGTCTGATGCGATATGCACATCCACAGGTTAGTTTCTGTTTATTTTCTAATGAACCTTTGCAGGTTTTTGTGACTTACCTCTGCTGGCTTTAAATTCAGGTAAAGCTGATTGATTTCTCCCCTGGTGAGAGATATCTGGTGACATACAGCAGCCACGAACCAAGTAACCCTCGTGACACTCATGTAAGTCTGAGCTTTATTGTGTTTGTGTATCTAATTGTGGCCATACTGGATTGTCTCTAATATAGTTTTCTTTCAGAGGGTTGTGCTAAATATTTTTGATGTGAGAACTGGGAAAGTGATGAGAGATTTCAAGGGAAGTGCCGATGAATTTGCAGTTGGAGGAACTGGAGGTGTTACTGGTGTGTCGTGGCCAGTTTTTAGGTGAGATTTGATCCTATTGTAAGAGATGCTTTCTATCCTTCCCTGCTACCTGTTGTAAAAGTTATACCTAACATTTGCAAACTCTTGCATGCTTGAGTGCATACACGATTCGTCAGAAATATAATGAAATGTGGGGCTGGAATACTTTCTTAACTTTCTTTTTGAGATGATTTCAGGTGGAGTGGTGGTAAAGAAGACAAGTACTTTGCAAGAATAGGAAAGAATATCATCTCTGTTTATGAAACAGAGACTTTCTCTCTTATTGACAAGAAATCTATCAAGGTTGAAAATGTTATGGATTTTAGCTGGTCGCCAGCAGATCCAATTCTTGCACTTTTTGTTCCTGAATGCGGAAATCAACCTGCCAGGGTTTGTGCTAAAACTTTTATGCAAGTCATCACTAATTTGGAGGAACTACTTGTATTTGCATTTGAATTAAACCTGTATTAAATTGACAGGTCAGTCTTGTGCAAATCCCAAGCAAAGAGGAGTTGAGGCAGAAGAATCTCTTCAGCGTTAGTGATTGCAAAATGTATTGGCAAAGCAATGGAGACTACCTTGCTGTCAAAGTTGACCGGTACACGAAGACTAAGAAAAGCACTTACACTGGTTTTGAGCTGTTCAGAATCAAAGAACGGGACATTCCGATTGAGGTTTTGGAGCTTGACAACAAGAACGACAAAATCATTGCATTTGCCTGGGAGCCAAAGGGTCACAGATTTGCTGTTATCCATGGCGACAACCCTAGGCCAGACATCAGTTTCTACTCTGTGCGGTCTGGCACTAACACGGGCCGTGTTTCAAAGCTGACAACTCTTAAGGGAAAGCAGGCTAATGCTCTCTACTGGTCACCTGGAGGCCGCTTCCTTATTTTGGCTGGACTGAAAGGTTTCAATGGGCAGTTGGAATTCTTTGATGTTGATGAGCTTGAAACCATGGCATCTGCTGAGCATTTTATGGCTACAGATGTTGAATGGGATCCTACTGGAAGGTATTGAATTTTGCTCTTTCATTAGTTTTGCCCTGAGACACCTTCCTATTTTGGTTCTTATACTTTTGCTTTATTGGGCATATCAAGGTATGTAGCAACATCTGTTACCTCAGTTCATGAGATGGAAAATGGATTCAACATTTGGTCTTTCAATGGAAAGCTGTTGTATAGGATACTTAAGGATCATTTCTTCCAGGTAACAGTCTTTCCATACATTGTTCGCTGTACTTGTTCCTACTTTGGCCTATAAGCGACTTGGTCACACTGCTCGAATTATTCTGCCTCCTAAATTGTTACTATATGTTTGGGATGGTTACTGATCCTTAGCTCCCCCTCTCCCCGCGGATATGCGTTTCTTACATGCTATATTTGATGCTCTAGGGCTGGTTTTGTGTTAGTTGATGTTCTAGGACTTGTGTAATCTCAGTACTAAGGGTTCGCTGCAGCTTTTACTATGCAGTCGCAGAACGGGCAATTACTGATTTTCTGTTGTCTTTCGAATGCTGCTAATGTATATTTGACGCAATTTCCCTGTTGTCTCGTATTTGCTATGTGGTTGTATGCTCTGCTTGGCTACGCCTGTTTTTGGAAGGAACATGCTTATATTCATTACATGACCTACTGGATACTCATCAATATAGCAAATGCTTCTTGTTTGCTGCAGTATTTGTGGCGCCCCAGGCCACCATCTTTCTTGAGCAAGGAGAAAGAGGAAGAGATCGCTAAGAACTTGAAGAGATACAGCAAGAAGTATGAGGCAGAGGATCAGGATGTTTCATTGCAATTGAGTGAGCAAGATCGTGAAAAGCGGAAGAAGTTGAAAGAAGAATGGGAAGCATGGATTAACGAGTGGAAGCGGCTGCACGAAGAGGAGAAAATGGAGAGGGAGAAGTTGCGTGATGGAGAAGCCAGTGACGAAGAGGAGGAATACGAGGCAAAGGAAGTTGAAGTTGAGGAAATAATAAATGTTACTGAGGAGATTATTCCTTTTGAAGAGAGCCAACAGTGAATTCAAGAGTTTGAGAAGCCCTGTCCAACATTTTCTGCGAGAGCCTGCTATAAGGAGAAGCGAACTGAGAGCTTTAGGTAGGATATTTGGTTAAAAACTTTGTTTTCTTTTTGTTTCTTTTTCCAACTCATTTTCTTTTATTTCCTTTGTTGAGTAGACTATACGAAGTTTTGTCTGTTAACTAGACTAGCCGAAAATTGCTGTTACAATGGGCAATGAATTTGATTACAGAGACTTGATTATTTTGTTGGGTATCTGCAAATATCTCGTACACAAATAGGTCACTTGTGCAAATGTTGGTGAGTTTTGCTCTCGACAAAACTACAACGCATGCCAACTTAAACAGCTATTTCAACTGTACATGAACTCTGTATGCAGCAAGCATGTGAATGTCCACTTACTCCAAAAAATCCTTTCTGTGGAGGAAGGCTGTGATAAAGCTATGGCAGTGTTTTTGTATCTGCTTTCGGTGATTTTACTTTAGAAACTACATTTCGATTGCACTTCAGTGGAAATAAACCAATTTTTGGAGCAGACTCAAGACTTCTATAACAACTTTATAATAACATTCCGCTATTAACAGTTAATTTTGTTTTGATTCATTTTAACAGTACACTCTATGTAAAATTATCCCTCTGTAATAACTTTTGCTCAAATATTAATTGAAATTATTATTTTTCACTTATGTTAATTATCATTTATTTTCATTATAAAGAAAGCACTACTAATGCTCTGTTGTCATAAAGCCACATATATTTTGAATATATTCAATACAGCACCAATTTTGACAAAGAAAATTACATCAATATGTACTTGTTAATAATATATTAGCTTTCTCCAGTTTTTATTTAGTGAAATACGCTTATCTTTAGAGGTTTCAAATCTAAGTAATTTTTTATATCTTTTACTATAAGTTATAAAAAAAAAAATAAACTGATTCTTTGGAAAATTTTGTCTATAATAATTAAATAACACTTAAATTTCAAATTCTGTTTTACAGAGATCTGATTATACCTAAGGCTGTTGGTGGGCCGGTCTTGGACCGGGACCGGACCGGGCCCGCGGTCCTAACGGGCTAAACGGTCCCGGCGGGCCGGTCCTGGTGGGCCGGTCCCTTAATGGGTAATAAGCCCGTGACGGGCCGGTCTTGCTCGTGTAGCCCACGAGACCGGGACCGCTAAGCCCGGGACCGGCAGGCGGTCCTGGGCCGGTTCAACCAGGCCTAGCGGTCCTAACGGGCTCCAACGGCTAATTTTTAAAAAAAAAAAATTTTTTTTTTTTTTAAAAATAGCCAACGGTCAGATTTTAAAATCTAGCCGTTGGCCTTTAATTTTCAACCGTTTGGAATTTTAAAAAATAGCCATTTGGCCCCCAAACTTTATTTTAACCCCAAACTTTATATAATTACACTTTTCCCCAATTCTCAACTATAAATACCCCCTCATTCTTTCATTTTTACTCACCAATTCATCAATCTATCTCAATCTCTCTCAATCTATATCTAATTTCTCTTCTATAATTGCTTATTTTACTATTGCAATTTCGTGAAAAATTGTGAAGTTGGTGAATTGAAGTATTCAAGTCTTCAAGTCTTCAACGATTTTCAATTTTCAAGAAGTTGTTCGGCAATTCGGTAAACTCGTTCCAACTCTTAACTTTTAAGAATATATTTTTGTGTGTTTAGTTTGCATAATTGTAATTAATATGGCATTTTCTTTGAAAAAAATGTTTGGTGGTAAGGGAAAAGCTAAAATTGGTGAAAGTAGTCTCCAACCTACTACCCTTCCCCCGGCTCCCCGACCCAGACCTGTTACCCGTCCTGCTGCTCCTATTATTCTTGATAGTGATAACCCTTGTTTTCAATTTTCCGATAGTGAATTTTGCCATAATGTTGCACAAGGTGAACAATTAAATGAAGAAGTTATGAATGCTCTTTATCCTAATCAAACTATCTTAGAAAATGATGAGGAAAATGAGGATGTAGATGAAACCCAACCGGATTTAGATGATACACCTACTAGTCCTGTTAATAACCCAACTGATGCCCCGCCCGACCCACCTATAGAAACCCCTACTTTTAATAGACAACCTTTTAAACGCCTAGAAATATCAATAGTTTGGAATTTTTTTACTCAAGTAAGAGAACAAAATAAGGATAAGTGTAAAACTTGTGGGAAATTGCTGGCGCATAAATATACTGGAGAGCGTAGCGGTACGGGTAGTTTGGCTAGGCACATACAAACACACCCTAGAGATAAAGTTAAATATTTACAAATGAAAGCGCAGCAAGAGGGGACAAGTGTAGATACTGCGGTTAACCCTAGTACAGGTTCAAATCTAGTTCAACCAGGAATTAACACTGTGACCGGTGGTATTTTATATTACGATCCTAATAAAGATCGTGAAGAATTAGCAAAGATGGTTACTGTTATGTGCTTACCATATACTTTTCCTTCTAACCCTAATTT